CCTGCGGGGGGCGGCAGGGTCCCTGCCCGGGCCCAGGGATGGGGACTCGGAGGCATCGCAGCTGTCTGTGGTCCGCATCTCCCCTTGCATCTGCAGCAGCGAGTACAGCTCCTGTGTCAGGAACTCGCCTTCCCTGCAGATTTTGTGTTGAGCAGGGGTTCTAAACTTCTGCCTCAGTGTTAAGCGTATCCCGTCTGAGGGGGCTCCAGGGTCTGATTTGGGTGTTTTCAAATCCTTTGTTGCGTGCAAGTTCTCCCACACTTCCTAGAAAGCAGGGGATGAGAAGGAAGAGCTAGAGGTAATACGCTGACTAACTTCAAACTTCCTGGTATAAACTCTCTCCTATAAAAATGGTGGTTTGCAATAAACTGTTCACAACTCTTTGAATGTCAGTGTAAGAGGCAAAATGTACCTGGTGCCTGTGAGAGTCCTGTAGTTACTTTGTATTGAGAACTCAGGCTGATGTTTTCACTACAAAATTAAATGTGTTTGTTACATCAAGATAGCTATCATGATGTAAAATTCTATTGAAAATCAGGCACCAGATAGTTTTGTTTAAGTGAAGACATAGCCTAAGTATTATTTAAGCTTTGTTACAAAATGTGCTCTGAAACTTCAATGATGGATTAGAAGAATTTACTGTATTCTTGTATGTTTGTGAATATACAATCTAGATTGGAACACTTGTGACTGTCTTTGTGTGTGTGTGTGACTATTTTCTCATTTTCTTTCAGATTTAATGTTCCAATTTTTCTGATGTGAGATTGGAAATCCAAAATTGAGGTGACATGTGCTGAGTTCTGTGCAACTTTGTGAAAACCTTGCTCAAGAGCTGTTGGATTTATTGAGAGCATGAAGAAATTCCTAACAGACTATGTAATTTTTCTACTTTCAGTTGAAAAATATTAATGTTGGAAAAAGAGTTAATTCAGATTCAGAAATGTGTATGCTATGGTTAACTGGTTCCCATCCTCCAAAAATCTGTTTTCCCATGGTGTAAAGCTTATTCAGCATCGGGATAAAGGATAACGACTCTATGGATATACAGAATTCTTCACCATGGTAAAACTCGCTAACCCGCTGTATACGGAGTGGATTTTGGAGGCAATCAAAAAAGTGAAGAAGCAAAAACAGCGCCCTTCAGAGGAGCGGATATGCAATGCAGTATCTTCATCCCATGGTTTGGACCGAAAAACTGTCCTGGAACAACTAGAATTGAGTGTTAAAGATGGAACTATATTAAAAGTCTCCAACAAAGGTCTCAATTCCTACAAGGATCCTGATAATCCTGGGAGAATAGCACTTCCTAAACCTCGAAACCATGGAAAGTTGGATGGTAAACCAAACGTGGACTGGAATAAACTAATCAAACGAGCAATTGAGGGCTTGGCAGAGTCCAGTGGTTCATCCTTGAAGAATATTGAACGCTTTTTGAAAGGTCAGAAGGATGTGTCCACATTGTTTGGAGGTAGTGGTACCTCCATCTTTCACCAGCAATTGCGACTAGCTGTCAAGCGTGCTGTTGGCCATGGCAGACTCCTTAAAGATGGACCTTTGTACCAACTCAACACTAAAGCAGCCATCAATGCTGAGGGGAAAGAGAGCTGTGAGTCTCTTTCCTGTCTGCCTCCAGTGTCACTCCTTCCCCATGAAAAGGATAAGGTAAGAGCCAAGAATACACCAACATTTCCTTGGAACTGATGAAAAATGGTGATACAGGCTCAAAATTTGAGGTCACTCTCTTTAATATGTAACTGGTAAGTTGAAAATGGGCAAGAGACTTTAAGAACTGTGCGGCAAGTGAATGGTTCTGTTTTCTTCCAGTTTCTGAGCATGAACGCAGTTGGTATTTTGTGCCTGCCACTTGGACAGGTCAAATGGCAAACTAGGTAGTTCCCTTCCCAATATTCAGGGTGTGAAATTAAAGGGTTGGTCAGAGACTTCCTAACAACACAACTTTGAGTATGTATCATATTTTTAACTCCACTTATCAGTAGGAAAAGCAGGATAGAATCCTCTCACATTTTTAAATCAGATGGATTATAAAAAAGGACATAAGAACGGCCAAACTAGGTCAGACCAATGGTTCATCCAGCAGAAGCAGCCACTCTAGCTTGCCTGGAGGACTTCTCCTTTGCTGTTTTTCCAGGGTCAGCATGGGGCTTCGGGCCTAGTGCATCCCATCACATGTAGACATAAGGATGACCATACGGGGTCAGCCCAACAGTCCATCTAGCCCAGTATCCTGTCTGCCGACAGTAGCCAATACCTAATGCCCCAGGGGAAGGGAATACAACAGGAATTCCTCACGTGATCCCTCCCCTGTCACCCACCTCCGGAGAAACAGGCTAGGGACACCATTCCTACCCATCCTGGCTAATAGCCATTGATGGACCTAATCTCCATGAATCTATCTAGCTCTTTTTTGAGCCCTGTTAAAAGTTCTAGCCTTCACCTCATCCTCTGGCAAGGAGTTCCACAGGTTGACTTTGCATAGAGTGAAGAAAAACTTCCTTCTGTTTGTTTTAAACCTGCTGTTTATTAATTTCATTTGGTGACCCCTAGTTCTTATATTGTGGGAATAGTAAATAACTTTTCCTTATTAACTTTTTCCATACCAGTCATGATTTTATAGACCTGTATCATATCCCCTCCTTAGACTCCTCTTTTCTGAGATGAAAAGTCCCAGTCTTTTTAATCTCTCTTCATGAGACCCCTTCCAACTCCCTAATAATTTTTGTTGCCCTTTTTATGAACCTTTTCCAATGCCAAGATAACTTTTTTGGAGATGAGGCGACCACATATCATATTGTATGTGTAGTAGGGATTATATTTTCAAATGTGCATTACTTCACATTTATCAGCATTAAATTTAATTTGCCACTTTGTTGCCCACTCACTTAGTTTTGTGAGATCTGTTTGAAGCTCTTCGCAGTCTGCTTTGGTCTTAACTATCAAGAAAAATCAAGGTTTTTTTGTTTTGTTTGTTTGTTTCATTTGGCTACCAGCCCAATTCACTATGTTGGACGCAATTAATTATTTATTAATTATTTGTTTTGTGATAGCTGATTAGGACTTGTAGATGCTATCTGAGCCTTATTGTGCTAAGTGATTTCAACCCACATAATGAATGATAGTTCTTGTCTCAACAAATTTAGTTTTAGTTAATGAAAAGTCAGCAAGTCAATAGAACAAATGGGGGACAGGATGGAAGAAAAGGTAATAGAATGAACACTTTTTAAATGTATGTTACAGTACAAAATAATGTGGTTCCATTAGCATAAAGAAACGTGTATAGATTCATTTTAAAATGAAACACCTTTCTTCTGTATTATAATGTCTCCTCTTCTGTGCATATTTTTGGCATGTTTCTTTATATTCCTCTCCTTCTATAAGATTTTGGACCTCTCCAACTTCAAGATCAAGTTAGCAGAGTGAAATTGACACTGGTAGTTTCACTCTTGCCACTGTTTTACCACTGGGGAAGTTATGTCAACAAGTTTATTTTCAAGTAAAGGCAAGAGTTGCCAAGATAGGGGTCCCTTTGTACTGCAAGTCTCTGAAGCCTTCTGCAACAGTGTTGAAAGTAACTTTCTCTCATCCACACTACTGGCTAAATTATTTTCAACTCTGAGAGTAGAAGGTCTTGTTGCTGACATACTTTTGTTACTGATGAGATCTCAGTGCCCATCTAATTAGTTTCATGCTCCAGACAGGGTTCTTCCCCATTCTAACAAGCTTTGAGGCCTTGATGACATGAAGTTTCCTTTCTATAATTTCTCACTACGCAGCAAAGATCCAACAATGACTGTACAGGGGAGAGCACTATTGTAAACAGAACACTGTTACTTTCATCACTGTTGGACATAGACCTGCACTGAGTAGGATTAGAGGATTGCTTACTAGACCAGCATAGTTACAGCATTATGGTCATTGTATACACAAGCAGTAAAACCAATAGCAGCTGAACCGATGATAGTAACAGTGGGAAACCGTAGTATGCCTTAGGGTCTGCTCTCTGAGAGAACATCTATGCTCTGGAGGTGGTTGCATTTTAATACTGTGGCACTCATATGATCATTCACTGGGATTATTTCATGGCGGTGTCTTAAAATGAGGTTGTGTAAATGCAGTGAAGGAAAATATGGAATGCCACAAAACTTGTATCTTATTTCTTTGTCCACCACTATGTCCCTTAGATAAACCATGAACATTTCAATCAAGATTTTAAACAATTCCCAGGTCCCTTTGGAATTACATTCACTTCTTGTAACTGTTCAGATCTAGGATTTCTCCTGTAGCCTTTGCAGCCATGACAGAAAGTTCACATGGCCATGTACTGAAGAAAACGACAATGACCAATCCTGCTGACTTTTGCCATATTCCTTCTTGAACTCCACTCTGAATGTTTCTCTTCAAATACTCTTGACATATACTGCGTGATTCATGCTAAGTTTCTAGCTAGCTTCACAGATGTCATTGCTGCCTGTCAGGGTATGTTGTCTTGTTAGCACATCTTCAGAGTTCTTGCAGTTTTAATTGGTCTGCGGATCATGATATAGTTAAAGCCAGGAGGCATTTGCATGACTGGGACAGGCATCTAACTTTTTGCCTCCAATAGTAACAGATACAATAGATGCCAGCATGACAATCCTTTATTTGAATGTTGATGGTTGAGAGGGACATTTTTTGTTTGTTGCCCTTTTTTGTTTCGGTGAATTTGCTTTTTATTGTCAGCATTGGAGACTTGAATTCAGGGTTCTCACAGTCAGTTTACCTTAGGGCCAGTGTCAGTCCTAAAATTCTCCTGTTGGGCCTGTGGGTTCCCTTTCTGGCAGGGTTTGGGAGGGTTTCCGTGCATCTCTCCCCTCCTCACCCATGCACTTCCCAGCTCCGATGCCCCCGGGTGATTTAACCTCACCCCCGGGTGCTCCCAGCGTTACTACCAGCAGCGCAGTAGGTGCAGAGTGGCCTCCATCTGCTAACACTGTGCCACTGCTGCCACATTCCTGTGGCCCAAGGGAGGTGTGTGTAGAGTAAGTTCAGTGCAGCCACCCCAGGCTCTGTGTTTTGGGGGTCTCTGCGGCAGCTGCCTCAAGCATCCTGTGGACTGGAGGGCCCCCTGTATTCAGATTGGCCCACAGGGTCCTGGGCAGGCTGTTCCACAGGGACTTGCATGTGCACAACCATGTGTGGGCTGGATTGTGGAACTGCTCAGGCTGTAGATGACCTGCGGGCTGTGAGTTTGAGACCCCTGCTTTAGTTCCTTTATCCACAGAACAGGTGCAGTATGAATAATGGTAGTGCAGGGTTCCCCTTGTAATCTTTGAAAGAGACATAACGAGACCACCTCTGAAACTGAGTAGAGAGCTCAGTTGCCTTACCCAATTCAGGCCATAGATTTGATATAAAGAAATTCTCTTATCAGTTATAGGCAATTGGTTCTTGATTTTCATTTGCACTATTCAAGCTGAAAGAAATGCACACAGTAAATTGAATAAGATGTAAACTAGAAGACTTGAGGGACCTGAAGACCATAACTCAGACTATGTTGATACTGCAGATAAATACCCAGAGTTGACTGGTGCCAGCTGACTTGGGCTCTGGGGTCATTTATTTGTGTGTAGCTGTTCAGGCACAGCTGTGGGTATTTAACTGCAGTGTACAGCAAACTTCAAATAATCCGGCACCTTTAGGACCCAGGGGGTGCCGGATTATCAGATATGATGGACTATCAGAAGGGGGGGCTATGAGGGGTCTGGGGTGGGGTGGGGGGATGCTATCCCAGACCCCCTCATAGCCCCCCCTTCTGATAGTCCAGCTCTGCCCCAGGAGTCCCTGATTCAGCCGCTGCTGGTCAGTTTCAGCAGCGGCTGAATCGGTGCCGGGTGGGTGGGGGTACCGCCGCCCCTTGACGCGGTAAACCCACCCCGCCAGCACCCCAGCTGCTCTTGGGGACGCCTGGGGCAGAGCAGCTGGGGTACTTCTGGGTTGGTCCCGCAGCTCTGCTCCTTGGCGCTACTGGACCAACCCAGTAGCACCCGAGCTGCTCTGCCCCAGGCGTCCCCAAGTCAGC